TAAAATTATAATATTGAATTCACCTTTAATATCATTGGGATATATGCTAATGTGAATACTCTAAATTAATGTTAATTATAAATTACATATATGTTCTTATTCTATTATTTAAATTTTAATTATTTACAAAAAAAATCATTATATTTATTCTATTTAAAAAGAAAAGAAAATTTCACATATAAGTTAAATGAGACATCTCAATTATGATAGAAATTGCTAAAAAAATCGTTAGTGAAAATTATTTGAAGGGCTTATTACATATTTTTTCAATTTAACAAAGTTTGTTAAAGTGGACTCAACAAAAAAAAAAAAAATTAAGGGGACCTTAATGGTGGTTGATGGAAGGGATGTCAAATCCTTACTTTTTTATATATATAGAACTAAAAGATAAACTCACAATTTGATTTCTCAATTATTTAGGTTTTGGAATTAATTCTTAAATTTTAAAAAAAAATTCTGTTTTGGTTTTAAAAATTTAAAAATTTAGTCCTTTTTTGTTCTTCTATTAAAAATTTACTAATGTAACTCGAGCAAAGTTAAGTATTATTAATTTGTAACTAAATAAAGCATTAAAGTAATTACATGTTAAGAGTGTTAACAACTAGATAGCCGCAATGCAGCACAATCCCCTTCTAACAACTTCCTTTGACATTAGGTTGGCAGGATTCCAATAGACTAATGTGATTGCTTACTTGATGAGAAGAATGACATGTACCAAAATTTTTTACACGTAGGATTGAGAGCATGGTAAAAAGAATGAGATGGGGGAAAAAAAAAAAATTCAATGTTCCCTTTTCTTTTTCTTTTTTTCTTTTCTTCCTTTTTCCCTTTCTCCTTCCTCTTCCTTTCCTTCGCCTTATGTAAATCATAACTCCTTAACCTACAATTGCCCTACTTTTTTCTCTATTAACCTAATCAATTCGAAGAAGATAAATTCACACTTTCCTTCAAAGACTCACTGAAGAATCTTTAAAACTGGACCAAATCTAACTTTGCTAGCCCCTACAACAAATTCACCTCCAATTTACCCCTGTGCCACCGATAAAGATGGTTGCATCTGCAAGCTTTCTCTCTAGTTTCTTTCACCAAGGTACATTTCTCATTTTTCTCTCAGACTATGTGCGTGTTTGGCACAGCTGGTGGAAGGTCTTTTTGGACTTCAAAAGCTTCAGTTGTACCAAACCCTACAATTTGTGAAAAATGCTACAACTTCTCACAAGTTAGTCTTTTGTTCATTTCATTGCAAATCTCAGAAGCACCGAATTGGTGCTTCTGCAAGAGCTTTTCATTTGGGTTTTAATGAAATTAACACATTATTCATATTTTATCCTTATTTTTCTTTCTATTTACAAAAACAGCACTTCTACAACAGTTTCTTTCCAACAGAACTTTTATTAAAAGCTCCAACCACACCAAACAGGCACTATACCAATCTTCAATCCCTTGACTTCTCCTCCAACTTAGGGCCTATTTGGTGGAGTTTCTTAGAGTTTTTACTTTTTTAATACTGTTTATAAGTGATAAGTTTAAATTTTTATCAGAAGAAAAATTTAAAAGTTGCTATTGAAAATAGGAAAAAGTGACTAAAAAATGAGTAAAAAAAATTTATAAAAAGTAAAAGTTTAAAACTTTTCAAAATTTATTTTTTAAGATTTTTTTAAGGTTAAAAAAATTAAAAAATATAAGTTTTTATAATGAAAATTTAAACTTATGAAACATAAATAGTATCAAAAAATTGAAAAACTTACTAGATTCACCAAACATGCCCTTAATCTCCGAACCCATCTCCCAAGATTTGTAATACTTGGTCAATCTAGCAATTTTGAATCTCTCCCCCAGTCGACTTGACCGTGAGATGTTTCCGTAGCTTACATTGTGCGCTTACCTAAATGCATAGATCTTCATGACAATTTGCTTTTTGGGTAAATTCCTTAGCAATTGGGTCTCCTATACACCTGTATGCTTTTGATGTTTCATTAAATAAGCTTTCTAGTCCCATTTTGGCTTCTTTAGGGAACATAAGCAGTAATTTTCCAAGATTTAATGCCAGCTCTTTTGAAGGGAAAAAGGATCTCTATAGGTACCCTTTGCCACTTATGAAGCCCAAAGGATTATCGGTTTTGACTATTGTCTTGATACGACTCGGATTTGCAAAATTGATGCTCATTTTCACTAGAGTACATATATAGTTAAAGATTACACAGCAGAAGATGGATGCCAAAGAGGCAAAGATTAGTTAGTTTATGCTTAATTATTAAACTTAATAACACATAATTGAAGATTATTATGCTCAAATATAAGGTTTGATATTTTAAATACGAGGTTATGAGATAATAGAAATTGTAATTACTGTTAAGAAATCGAAAGGAAAGTGCAAATTTATCTTCTTTAAATTGATTTGGTTAATGGAAAAAAAAATGTAGGGCAATTGCAAGTTAAGGACTTGGGGTTTGTACA